TGTACTATGTATGTTGTTTACAGCACTTCTAATAAAATTAGAGTAAAGCTTACTCGCAATACAAAAAAAAAAAAAAATAAAGTAATATAATATAAAATAATAATCTAAAAATAATACTATCAATACTTATAATATTTCTTCCTATTTAGCAATGAGTCCCATGACAAAATTCCTATCAATATCAAATACTTATTAAGCTTTATTCTAGAAATTATATTTATAGTGACATGTTGTGTTCACTTGATTTGGACAATATTAGTTTTTTCAAAGAAATTATAAATATATCAGCTGATACTTAGATAATACTTGGAAAGTTGTCTACTCTAGTATTGTTATTAGGTTCTTGTTAAGATGAATTCCAATAATTCTTTCAAGTAGTAGATATAAATTAAAGTCTTTTTTATGTTCCTTATTTTTGTAAAACATTGTAGTTAAATATAGGTTATGCAAATATTCTCTTTAAACGGTTAATTATCAAGGTATGAAAATGGTGATACATATATATTTTAAGGTTCAATTCTTAGGAGATCTTTTATAATTAGGTCTTGAATAGTGATAGTTGACATTATTGTATGAGGTAATTTTATTTTTGAAATAGTTATACAGGAGTATAGGGTATATATATATGTTTTTAATGGAAAAGTTTTACAAAGTTCCAAAAGATTTTATAAAATTCTTTATAATTCTAGATACTTCTTCAAATTTCTTGATTTAAAGATCATGAAAATAATCATTTTTACTAATTTTTCATGCCTATAAAAGTTATGTTGCTAGAGCTTCTTACCTAACTCATTTAGGACTTTGTAATTCTTCTTGGAAGATCATTATTATTTTACAAGAGCAGGTTCATTTTCTAAAATATTAAATACATTGTGAAGAAAGATCAAAAGCTTTTTTAGAAAAAGATTTAAAGTGCCTTTGTAAAGAGATTTCTCAACTATCTTTTTTAACAAATTCCTCTCATGTTTGTGAACTTGAGTTAAAGAATAAAAGCTTGTATTAGCAGGTCACTTGTTTAAATCTTTTTTTAATTCAGTTGTATATATAAGTTCCTGTTTTTTTTACCAGACTTTTTCTTCTTTAGATTAAAGTGTTTCTTTAATTTTTCTTTTTTTGTTTCCTTGATTCTTTATTATTTATTTTTGAAAATATAGCAGTTATTAAGCAGCTCAGTTAAGCCAGTTGTAATAATCTATGGGAGTTTTGTAAAACCATAATTATTGTACTACATTTTTCTTTGTTTGAGTTGTTTATTTTTCTTTTAGGTGAATAATAGATTTCTAAGGTTTTCGATTGAAATATAGTTTCATTAGGATAATATTAAAGGATGCTGTTATTATTTTTCCTTTCAACATTCTTAACTTATAGGTTCTATTTTCAAAGTGTTATAGATATATAGTATAGTATTTTAATTAATTTTGAAATTCTTTGAAAATTATAAATTAATTTTAGTCAATAAGAAATAAATAATTTTAATCAATAAATAACAACCGTCCAAACACAAGCACTTTTCAAAAAGTTCTTAACATTCTAATAAACTCAAACAATCTTACTGACAAAAAAATTTTTACACCAGCCATAGTATCATCGTTTTGAAGAGGCATTAGCCATTCAACACCTTTAGTATGAAAACACCTACTTGGTGCCAATGCGTACTAATTGTAAAAGTTGCAATAGGCTACAATTAATTTAACTTCTATGTATTTTAAAGATTGTTAATGTAATGACGATAAATCAATGTTTAATAAATGTCTCGCATTTAATGCCTTTTTGTGATTTAAAAAAAAAATAATAATAATAATTTTAATCAATAAAATTCAAATAATTCCAGCCAATAAAAAACAAATAATTTTAGCCAATAAAAAATTTAATATAAATTTGCATAATTATTTAAACAAATATTTTTATATTATATTATAATTTATAAAATACTTTGCTATTTTATAAAAAGTAACAAACAATTATAAAGAAAATTATAATTATAATAACTTTTTTAAAAGTTTGTTTTATATAAAATTTTTAACTTTTTTTATTATTTTTATAAATGTTTAAATTAAAACAAGAAATATAATAATTTTAATATATAATTATAGGTTTTTAAAGAAAAAAAAGAAAATAGAACCTAATAAAAACATTTGAAAAACTTTAGAAAAACTAAATTATATTATATTTATTAATATTTTTTTTTTATCGTAAAAGGATATTAGATGCAAGTCTTTATTAATTTGTATATGTATAATACATTGTTGTAGGGAAAAATGATGGGTAAATGATAGGAAATTATAAGGGTAAGTATATCAGGTATAAGTAGTATATCAGGTATAATAGGTATAATAAATATAAAATAAAAATGTATATAAGTGACCTGAGAATGGTCAAAAAGTAGGAAGAACCAGAATAGGTACTGTGCAACTGTTAAATAAAAACCATCTTTATTTGATAAACTATTGTCTTGTGATTGACCCCAGTGTCACGTAGCTAATGGAATTGCTGCGCGTGAAATAACCATTGAGGACACAAGATTGACAGACTGATCTGTGTCAGCGTTATGAACTCTGGCCAAATTCACATGCCTCTTTTGAGCAGAAACCGCCCCGATCATTACACGGCGTGAGACAGATCGAAGCGACTGACTCGCCATGATTTCACCACAACATTTTTGGTGGTAACTGTGAGATAGAACACTACCAATAACACTCGTTACCTCCCCTCCCCCTCTTTTTTTTTTTTTTTTTTTTTTTCCCCCCCCCCCCCGATATTTTCTCGTGAACACTTTACATACTATCATTAGTGTGCAGAAAACTTATTTCGAACACGTAACACCTCTGATCTCAAGTAGACACAACGCAATACTCCCACACTTGTTACAACTGGAAATTTTAGTCATTTATTTTTTTTGTTTTTATTTATTCATGGTAAAGTTATATTAAAAATTTCCTTTTTTATATAAAAAGCGACGAAAAACGAAACAAAGTAAAATAAACGTCAAAGGAATAAGCATAACATACACTCGCCAAGATGAACAATGACCAATTTCAACAGTTGATGAAAGGTATTTTTCAGTCGATAGATGATATTGCCAAACAGAACAGTGCGAGGGGAGCTGACCATGTGAGAGCGAGGACATTTGCCGGAACCGAGGACGATGACCCGGTAGAATGGTTGAAGAAATTTGAGCGAATAGCAGGAGTTAACGACTGGAACGATGACAAAAAGCTCAGGGTGGCCCCTGGGTATATGGTGGGATTAGCCGCCAACTGGTGTAAGGAAAATGTGGATAAGGTCAAGAAATGGAATGATACGGACCAGACGCAGAGTTTCCGTCACGTGTTGATAGAACATTTCACCACGTCAAAAAAATGCCATAAGTGGCAGAAAGAATTGAATGAACTAAGTCAACGAGCTGATGAGAAAGTAGACAACTATGCAGTACAGTTTAAGTGCTTACTGACAAGAGTGGATCCGGAGGAGACGATTTCTAACGACTACGTGATAAGAATGTTTTTAAACGGACTAAAAGATAATATGGCGATGTTTGTTAACATGACGTCTCCAAAGAACTTGAACGAAGCGATCTCAGCAGCATGAAAGGCTGAGGCAGGGAACTATTATGGTCGGCAAACTGAGAGGGAAGACAAGGACGTGACAAAGAGGTTGGAAGACGAGATGGGAAAAATCAGGAAACAATTAAAAGAGCTAACGTTGAACTACGCGGACTTGAGGAGAATGCCGCGAAGGGAACCGAGAAGGGAGGAAAGGAAGACTGTGGTCTGTTACGACTGTGGAAAGGAAGGGCACATAGCTCGATGGTGTCCAGAAAAGAAGATGCCAAGAGAAACCCGAAAGACGACAAGTCCTAAGGTACAGTATATCTACGAAGAAAGAGAAGAGAGTGAGAAAGATGACGTAGAGGAAAAAGAGGCTTACGCGTTAGGGGATGCCTCGCAAGTTGTAAAAAAGAGAGGAAGACCACCCCACCAAGACGAAGAGAGTATGGGTGAGCCCCCAAAAGCAACAAAACTTATAAGGGTACAGGAACCAATGGTAATCGTGGAATCCCTCGAAGCAACCGTGTCAAAAAAAAACCAAGATGAAAGAGGCTGCCTTCAGTTGTGGATTCCCTGGAACCGTATGACATCTCGGAAGACATCTTATCAATGAGAGCGAATGTCACGTACGCACAGTTACTGAAATACTCCGATCAAAGAAAGAACCTCTCGAAGATAATGAAGAGAACTAAACCGCCAGAAGAGACCAACCAGGTGAGCACAGCGGACACTTTGAGGATGACCGCTGCCAAATGTTATATACGAGTGGGAGATAAAACAGTAGTAGCCGTCCTGGATACGGGAGCGGCAGTGAGTATAATCACAAAAAAATTAGTAGATAAGCTTCGTTTGATGATCAATGAGAAATCTACTTCAGTTTTGTCACAGCAAATGGTACGAGGGAGAAGACTTTAGGGAAGGTGAAGGATGTGGGCATAACAATCCAAGGAGTAACTATTCCCGTGAGACTACGAGTCATCGAGTCACGAGACGAAACACTCTTGCTGGGGACCGATTGGTTCCAGAAGGTGAAAGCACGAATCCATTTTGATGAACAAAGAATATTTTTAAAATACCAAGGGAAAGAGCTAGAGATACCCATCTCGCACAATGGCATTGAAGGGTTGGTACGGCCAGATGAATCGGAGTCGAGCGACTATAAGAGTGGAGGTACGTATGGTGAATTTGAGTATGAAAGCGAGAAAGTGGAAGAAGAAAAAGGCTATTATACCGGGAAGCGATCAGGAGAGGGGACCACCGATCAGGAGAGTGTGGCAGAAAAAACCACTGGTCGGGAAGAAGCACCCCCATCAAAGGTGAAAACCGAGGAAATGGAGATCCCTAGTCCCGCTATATACTTAACCGTCCTGAAGGAAATACCGACGCCGGAAGAAGAGGAGTCTGTCATTGGAGAACCAAAAACGGACATGGACAACCTAATAGAGAAAGAACGAGGAGAAGTAGCGAAACTCTTTGAGACAGAGAAAGAACTATTCACAGGAAGTTTGGAGAAGCTTACCCAGACCGACGTGATCCAGCATGAAATCGATACCGGTGACGCGAAACCTATAAAGCAAGCCCCCTACAGGATGGCACCCGACGAACATGACTACATAAGGGACGAACTTACGAAAATGAAGAAGCAGGGACTTGTTGTGGAATCTAGGAGCCCATGGACTTCCCCCATCGTGATAGTGCTGAAGAAGAACGGTAAGCGACGTCTATGTGTAGATTACAGAAAATTAAACGCAGTGACGAAAAAGGACACTTATCCCCTACCGAGGATCGACGACTTGATCGAAGCTCTTGGAAGAGCAATGTGGTTCTCGAACCTCGATCTAGCCAGTGGATACTGGCAAGTCTGAGTTTACGAAAGGAATCGCGAAAAGACAGTCTTTGTAACTAAATTTGGAACATATGAGTTCCAGGTGATGCCGTTTGAGCTATGCAATGCCCCAGTTACGTTCCAAAGGCTGATGAACTGAGTGCTATACGACTACATCAGAAAATTTGTAGCCGTTTATTTGGACGACATTATTGTGTATTCGCTGACGTTTCTGGAACATATCAGTCATTTGACCTGTATTTTCAGAGAGTTGAGACAGGCTTCGCTGAAGTTGAATGCAGAAAAATACAAGTTCTTCTTACCAGAGGTGGAATTTTTGGGGCACGTAGTAGGAAGGGATGGCATCCAGCCAGACGAAAATAAAATCATAAAAGTGAGAAACTTTCCAGCCCCGGGAAGTGTGAGACAGCTGCGAAGCTTTATTGGTCTCGCCTCGTACTACAGGAAGTTTATTCGTGGGTTCGCTACAATTGCCAAGCCCCTACACCAACTGTTGGAAAAGAATGCAAAATATGAGTGGGGAGACAAACAACAGACGGCATTTGAGTTACTAAAAACATACCTGACAACAGCCCTGATTCTGCGGTACCCGGATTTCGAGAGGACATTTTATTTACACACCGACGCATCCAGAACAGGACTGGGAGCAGTGTTGACGAGATCGATGAGGCAAAAAGGGAATATGTGATCGCATACGCCAGCAGGAGTTTGTCAAAAGCTGAGTGAAATTACGCAGCAACGGAGCAGGAATGCTTAGCGGTAATATGGAGAGTTGAGTACTTCCACCATTATCTGGGTATAAAGCCATTCATAGTAGTCACCGACCACACTGCATTAAAATAGCTGGAGAATTCAAAACTGAAAGGTAAGAGGGTGCAATGGATCCTCCACCTCCAACTATATAACTATACAATACTACACTGTGCTAGGAGAAAACATTCAAATGCCGATGCCCTATCACGTTTACCTAAGAGAAAAGGGGGAAGTAGTGCTAGCAATGGAAAACTCGACCACACCGAACAAACGAAAGATCTATTCTATCAATACGACAACTCAGATGACAATTCCTACCTACTAACTCGTAACATCTGATGCGAAGCAATAGCAAAACGTTAACCATAC